AAGAGCAGCTCAAATTTCGTGAACACTATTTTCTTAAAAAAAAAATTTTTTTTCAAAAGAAACCATAAAAAAAAAAACCCAAAAAAACCAAAAACTTAAAAAACCTAAAGAGAGCCTCTCCTGAGCCATCTCAAAATTGAAACTTCTCTTTTTCTTCTGCTCAATTAGTGCAGGCAATAAACTAATAAAACATTTACTTTTCAATTTAATGACCCTCTCTGTATTCTCTACTTGTATCTACTAGGCAGAGTTGAAGTAAATGTTCTGACTATAACCCATCCAGGGGAAACTGGTACCAACTTCATTATTTTATAAGTCGCCTGCTAGTAGCAAGTGAGCAAGGAATACAATGGACAGCTTTGAAGTAGCCAAATGCAGATGATTACCTCGCTCTGGCAAATGAATTCATTAAAGGTTGAGGACTGGATAGAAGATGGATAGGGAAGGAATCTTTCAGGACACTGAAGTCTCTGGGTTAGTAAGGAACTCCTCTCCCTCTTCCCCCTCTTGGCGGGACTCTTGTAGGCCCCCGATAGAGTTTTCCATAAGCAGAAGACTGAGCTGGGGCCCCCCAGTTAAGGCCTGCTCCTGAGCTGCTGGCCCCAGTGGTTCCTGGCCCCAGCTCCCCATAGTTTTGCAATTTGGTCTCTGTATGTGCCACAGAGTTGCTGCTTCCCTCAGCCTTCAGGAATGGTTGCCCGACCACTGAGTGTAATGCTAAGGGGACCCTGGCAAAACGGAGGTCCTGGTCCCCTGGAAACTGCACTGAACCTGTACCCTGGTAACTGCTGGACTCCCCAAGGTGGCTCACAGAGCCTGAGAAGGTCCTGTTCTTCACCAGGGTCTGGGCCAAGGATTCTGTCAAGGCTGGACCAGAGTTGCGTTCATCAGTGTCAGTGGCACTGAACCCTGTTTCAGGCCCATCAGTGTTTCCGTAAGTCCTGTTGGGATGGGGTCGGGTGGAGTATTCCATTGGTCTCAAGGCCTGGTGCTCATGTGGCAGGTGGCCAGGAGGCTCTGCTTCAGGCTGGGATAAAAGTTGCAGCAAGGCGGCTGTCACGGCTGGGTTCAACTCCTGGGGGGCGCTGGAAAGATCGCCTTCAACCAGAGGGGGTGGAGGTGGCGGCGGTGGAGGTCCGGGGGGCTCAGGGGGCCTCTTCTCTGGTGGAAGAATGTGAGGAGGACATGCTGTGGAAGGGTTACTTCTTTTAAACACCGTCTTAAAAATGACATGTGATTATAAACACACACACACATACACACATACGCACATATACTGCCCAACATATATCAATACAAGTAACCAAATATATATAAAGAATAAAATCTTGGGATCAGGAAATTGCAATTTATAAATAAAATCAAGTGATTCAAAGCAAAACAGTTGTATTCTGGATCTAACAGCTGGTGTAAAAAGATCATATGTTTCAAGTAATTGTCCTGATTTTTATCTGAGATTTCCTCCATTTCCTTCCTTAAGGAACCGTTCTAATATGTGGGTTGTTGGCAGCCTCCCCGCCCCTTTTTGCTGTTGGATCAAAACATTAATGAAAATAAAGTAGAAAGAAGGAAGATGAGAGGGAACAACATACATGCTACGGTCACATTTCTAGGACACAATCTTGCTGTACAATAGGAGACCTTGCATGGATTTAGCTAACACATTTTACAGAACGTTTGATCATATAAGGTTAACACCTGAAATAGAACTTAAAGAATATACAGGAAAGATGAAATAAAGTAAAAACCTTTCATTACCATCATGTATAAATATACACTTGCTTCTCCAAACTTCAGTTCCCTCTCCACATAACCACATTCTGAAGAAAGGAATATTAACCACCATACTGTTATTCAGCTTCCTATGTTACAGTAATTATAAAGACTAAAGTAACCTATAATAATTTTCTACTGTTTTCCAACCTCCTCCATTTTTCCCATGCTATGAGGAAAATTACTATAGTGATGTCATGCAGAATGAGCTTTTGATAAATATCTGTTTATCTTGAAGACAGTGATAATGAGAACTGAGTATTCAGAAATGTATTGAACTAATACTAAATTCTGTCTTTCCAAAGATCTTTCTCTTTTTTGAACCACTCTCCAGACTCTTTTCCCCAACTGCTGACTAAATTTGCCTAAGAATGGTAATCACTGTCTGATAATAAACTCCTGCCAAGACAGGAGAGTAGACATGTAAAATGGCATTGAGTTTGAGAACAAATACAATGAAGTACAGTTAGAATAATGACTTTGGAGAGTTGGGAGTCACCCTGCTGAAGAAAAGGTTTAATGTTTTGAGATATCTTCCAAATGATCAAATTTTCTGTTCACTATGGAAGCATATTTTTAAATGTCCATATAGTCTTTAATATCTGAGCTAGTAATATAAAATCATTTTTTAGACATGCCAAAAATAATTTTTAGTTATAATTAGATATTTTGGTAGTATATTTACAATTATATTTTGCAAAGATAATCAATAAAGTAAGTATGCATTCCCTTAGCATGCATATGAAAACACTATAAAATTGCAAAGTTGTCCAGTGGAAGGATGAGGGCAGGTGCTATATGTAACATACAAGCAGGGTGACCAAGAGTCCCAATTTGCCTGGGGTTTGAGGGGCTTTCCAAATTGCCAACTTTATGTTTTAAACCAGGACTGTACAGGAACAAGTTGGTCACTCTATATTCAGTATTTAATAGTTTAAAAAACTATTAAAGAAAGATTAATAACACTTGTTAATGATAAGCAACTTGTTGACGGATTGGCTGGCTGACAAGGTGGTAGGGAAAAATGAATTTAATGACAAAAAATTAGCTATGGAAAGCTTATAATCTGAAAAGGAGACATCCTGAAAAAGGAGAGCTAACTGAACTACAAACATCTATATATTTGGGAGTATTTTGATGTCAATCCTACATATCTCACTATACAAAAACATCCCAGTACCAGTTATTTTTAAAAGTATTTTTGGACAAGGCATGAAATGGACCACCAGTTTTTTTGTTTTGTTTTTTAATATTGAGGGCAAGCAACTTTAAAATGCCCAAATGCAAAAGTAGGCAAAGCAAACTTATAGTCTTCCAGGTATACCGTTTTACATTTAAACTTTGCCTTTTATATAAATAGCCTATTTGTTGTTACAATAGAACTAATTCTTGAGTTCAAATCTTTCACATGTGTGAGAACATGAAAACTATTTCAAAGTAGCAAAAGCAGATAGATTGTAAAAAAACGATTAAAGTAAGGTTAATAACACTTTTTAAAGGAATTAAAGATCACATTAAAAAACTAATACTAAGATTTAAAGTGTAACAATATTGCCAATCCTTAACAGTCTGTCCTAATGGAGGGAGGTATTAATCAAATGTACAAATAACTTAAAAACTTCATTTGACTCAGTAGATATCAACCACAACCCTTTCCCAACAAGTATACAGTATTTAAACAGTAGCCAGTTAGATTTGCACCTTCTCTGGCTTATTTGGTGTGCCCTCTGGTGGAAGTGCTAATGAACAGTAAAATGACTGAATGAGGCAGCTGGGGAGAAATAAGAACGCAACAGACATTGGATATACCAAATGGATAATCCAGGGGTGCCTGTAATAATTAGGAGTGGCATTTTTACTCTCTGAAATGTAAATCCAATAATTTCTGGCCATAGGCCAGGCCCTTAATTTTAGTTCAATTTCACCATTTGGCTGATAATTTGTTGGTTCAATTATTGAATTTGAATCACTTCAGGTATTTTGATTATAGATGAACTGTGTGTGTGTGTGGAAGGAGGGTATGAGAGATGAGACAAAGAAGCCTGCTTTAATTCTAGATTAGCCTTCTCTGTTATTTCATGTCCCAGAGTCTGTTAAAAACAGCTGGAATCAGATAACAGAATAGCAAAGTAAATTAAAAAACACATTAAAAAGAAACACATTGAGAAGTACACAAGTTCTAGTTCTGGCTCTGCCCATAATATAGTTCCAGCAGTGAGACCACAGGCAGGCTAATTTAAACTCCCTGGATTGCAGTTTCCCTATCTGTAAAGTAAAAGGGTTAATTTTATTTATGTCATCTTCAAGTTTTAAAAAGCTTTACATATGAGAAACAGCTTACATATTTGACCTTATGCCAGTGGAAATAAAGCATATACTTTTCTGCACCATCCCATATGAAATGTGAATGTAGGACCCTAAAGTTGAAAGTTAATGTAACTCATCAACCCATACCTCTTCTCATTCCCCAATTCACGGGGTCTTCATGGACAGCAAAAATTTCCGAGGAGTTGAAAACACTTTTAGATAAGTAAATATTTGCAAACAGACTGTGAATCAGACTGTGCATGCTGTAGTCATGAGAGATGAAAGTATAACGTATTTCCTTTTTTCATATTTTTTTAAATATGATGCTCACTTCCTAATCTTAAATCCATTCAATTGTCTCTTTCAGGAACACAGATTTTAAATCATTTTTATATGCTATTAGTTTTTGGAAAGGAAATATATGGTGTTATCTACTTGGAAATATTCTCAAATTATTTTTTAGATTAACAATGACATTTTATTAGGATTTTCTTGATTGTATTTTTCAGGCAAGACTCTGGTATCCAGGATCCACTACACTAGAGTACAATTGACTATTTGTACAATCTGATGATGGTTTGTTTGGAAGGCAGATTTTTCAAGTGCGAATACTAGTTTGCCACCGTACACACAAGTCGCATCACTAGCTACGGTTGTGGTTTCCATGGGTTAAAACATAGGGGCTTTACTTACCTACCTCCTAAGAAATGGAAAAACAACATATGAAAGTTGCTTTGAGAAGCTCTGAGACTTAAAGAAGCTGGGCAAACAATACATCACTTGGTGGTATGTTCTCCTGTAGACTAGGTTACAGAAAAACTGAAACTGAGGACACTGATGTGAAAAATAAAATGTTAAAGAGATTTTTAAGAGGATCAACAGCACCTGAGCTCAATGAGATTCATGACCGGTCTGTTTACCTGCTGCCTCCTCCTGTGGCATTGTGGGAGTTCTTCGGGGCCCCTGTGGCCCACTGTTCTTGTCACTGTTGTTTTCCTCCAGGCTGCCTGCTGGCTCCTGGGTTTTCATCAGCTGACTCAAGAGAACTGCCAACATATTCTGCATGTCAGCCGGTGTGCTTGAAGCTTCAGGGGTCGTCTGTTCTGCTGAAGGCTGGACCACTGGAGCAGGGGGTGCCTCCTTCAAAGACTCCTCTGGGCCCAAAGGCTCTGAGTCCTGCTGCTGGGAACTGGCTTCTGTTAGGGCACTGATGGATTGGTTCAGGGCCTCCAGCTGCTGCTGTATCTCAGGGTTAGAGTGGATATTAAGCAGCTGCACCATTTGAGGGATGCTCAGGTCGGTTTGGCTCTGCAGCAGGTTCAGTAACACTGCCAATTCACTTTGATTCAATTGCTGTGTGATGTCACCGAGGCCTGTGGTGGGAGAGTGAAGCCAATATAAGAAGGTTGAGGCAGGGCAAGGACCTTTGCCTTTTCCAACTGGCAATATCAACTTATAATATCCAGTGAACGGTTTCATTTTGAATGTCTCATTTTTCATGCATCAAACTATCATAGAAGTTTGTTATTCTTTATATTATCACTTAAAAACACAGGTACTGACTAATCAGGTAAAAGTAATTTCATTTTACCTTTATTTTTCAAGGTCAGTGATTTTCAACACTTACTATACATCAGAATTGCTAAGAGAGATTTTGAAATTCAGATTCCTCAAGCCCCATTTCTAGAAATCTGGCCATTGTTCAGGAGTGTTTATTTTTAAAATTTCCTAGGTGATTCCAATGTGCAGCAAGCACTGAAAACCACTGTTGTAGCTGGACAGGGAAGGGAAAGTGAGTAAATAGCTGTAGTTCAGAAAATTGGTGGTACCACAGGAAGAGAACTACTTTGTTACAATAGTTCATTATTATACAGTTTTGGATATATTTAAACTGGATAACAGTCTACGGAACTAACTACATTCAGCAACTATAATTTAACATGATTGGATTCTAAGAAGGACTTACCGAAGCTAACATATACAGGGCTCAAAATTATGTGTTAGAAAGCTATGGGTGAACTAACCTGAAATTAAATTTGGCTTACCTAATTCACTGATTTATCCCACACATCTAACTGAGGTATAGTGTTCCTTATTTCAGGAAAGGAAAATAATCTATTGTAGACTTTCTAGACGACATGTATAAAACTTTTGTTTTCTCTTTTTCCCTATAATGAGAACACCAACTTCTTTATTAATTCTTCGGTGGCTAAAAACTAAGACTGAAAAAGAGAGACAGAGAGAGACAGAGACACACCCTTATGCTTGACCTTCAAAACCTGCCAAAATGTGCTTAATAAAAGCACAAAGAATTCATCCCAGCACTGACCTATTGCCTCCCCAGCCCCAGGCTCCACCTTTCCAGGAGCAGGCTGAGGTGGTGCTGGGCTGCTGTTCTTCACAGGCTCAGCACTTGTCCCTGAGGTAGTTTCTTTTCGAGAGGCTTTGGATGGAGGTGGCTCTTCTACCACAACACCACTTTGTCGCTGCCTTCGCCGTTTCTTACTCCATAATTCATGACAATCCTGCCAGTGGGGGAGGCTGAAAAAAGACAAAGCGAAGGGGAAACGTGTGTGGGAATGTGGTAGTGAGTGAATAGAGGAATGAGATTAAAATATGAAGGCGCAGAGCAGTGAGGAATGAAAAGGAAAAGGAAAACATAAAATTAACTAGAGAAATTAGTAAATAAGTAATAGCAGTATAAAAGGAATCATGGCATACAATAGTCAGGAAATAAAAGTCCAAAAGCTCAGAAGATTTCTACAGTAAGAGATGAGGATTTTGCTAAAACCAGAGACACACCTGCTATATAAATGACCATATTCCAACCAAATAGTTAAAACTTATAACTGTTCTTGCTTGGTATAACAAGAATAAAGGAGAATTTTATTGGTCAAGTTTCAGTTGGGAATAATTATCACAGAGATGACTAGCTTGTTGATATCTACACAAAGTCCGGGCAGAGCAGTGATTTAAGTCTTGGAATAACATAAGTACATTATGATTAAATCGCTTCTGTGTAAAATCAATTATGTTATTTGGTCTGTGAAGACCAAAAAACTGGTTCTTTCTTCTTTCTGCCCACTAAATTTCTGTGACTAGGTATTTTCATTTGTAGGGTTTATTAGAATATTTTAATATATCTAATATATTTCCAGACTTCTCCATAATAATATAAATAGTTCCAGCAGGTCAAATCTTACTACAATAAAAATTACCGTAGCCAAAAAAATCTCTCTGTATAAAGAGTTTCCAAATTTCAGTAAAAAAGCTTATATATTTCGAACCATATTGGACGTATCAAAATTCTAGCAATATATTTCTTTGGAACAATCAAATTTGTAGTTAGTACTGACTCATGTACTACTATCTTATCCATTTCTTTATGATACACAGTTTTTCCTACAGAAACACCCCCAAACTCTGACATGATAGCTAAAATGCTGTCAGTGATAAATTCAAACATAAAGGACTTTTTATTTGTCAGAATGTAAGATGTGAGTGTAAAGCCTCTGAAGAGCCTACATAATACGGGAAATTCATAAGATTCTGATAAAAAAAGACACTGAAAGGCCATATTTTCTACATTAAAATTCAGGACATACAACCTGACAGTGAAGCAAACTATTTAAAATTAGGACTGTTCTTGAAAGTGTGGGATATACATGGTCACCATAGACATAGGGAATTCAAGCAGATGGAATAGTTAAGAGCAAAAACTAAAAGGAATACCTTCAAAGAGGTTCTACAGAGCAATATACTGGGGATCTAAGGACAGAAGAAGATAGCTTAATCAAACTAGAACAAATACCCTATTTAAATCTATTCCTTGTTTTAAAAAAACCTAATGCAATAAAACCTCTTATCAACCATACTACTACTCAAGGATGACCTCTCCATTTGGGACTTGGCCACTGCAGTTCTTTTAAAAAGCTACTACTTTGAATTTCTTATCTTCTAGGCCTAGGGGGAGGTTTAGGGTCACTAAGTGGCCACCAGCACTTACTCTGGAGGATCCATTTTGCTGAGGTCGACATCTTTAAGGAAGTCACTCTGTAGGGTCTGCTCAGCTGTACAGCGTTTGCTAGGATCTAGTGTCAGCATGTGGTCCAGTAAATCAAGAGCTGCTGAAGGAATGCTGTGGAAAGGAAGAAAAAACAAGTTCACAATGACCCCACAGTTCTTAAACCTGTAACCTTGTGTCAAAGGTCTCTGAATTTCCAGCTCCACGTAAAACTGTAGAAAGGGTCTACAGCCATGCCACCTTGAATATGTCCGATCTCGTCTAATCTCGGAAGCTAAACAGGGTTGGGCCTGGTTAGTACTTGGATGGGAGACCACCTAGGAATATCAGGTGCTGTAGGCATTAAAAAGGGGGCTGGAAGCTGGCTAAACAATCACATAGATTTGCCTCTACACAGCATTTAAGTGCTACAATACAGGAAGAACACATAAAGCAAGCAGTTAAATTCTCTTTTTGTCTTGAGAAGATCAAAAGCATTATGAGAAAATTTATATTGTTCAAAATAAAAATGGTTTTCCATCATCTAAAGCCTTCAAAAGAGAAAATTCCAAAAAGGCTATGACAAAACTCATACACTATTGGAAAATAAAATGTTTTCCTATGATGTATTGTCATAATAAACTGGGACAACACTAACTCCCTAGGCCAGGAAAAAGTCAAGTCCAAACACTAGCCAACCACAGAAAATACATGTATACTTTTTCCAAACTCACAAAGAGAATTCTTCTCGTAGACGCCTTCTATATTGCTTCTTCGGTTTCATGGTATTAAAGTAGGGCAGCTTGATAACATCAGGCCACACAGCTGGACAAGGGCTACCACAGAGTCGACTGAAAATAAAGCAAAAATCAAGAAACAGTGAGTCAGCATCACAAATTCTGGAGATTCTAGAAGCAGAAATGATTACCTCCTGAGGTCTGGGGAATCTTAGCTTATTAAATAAGAGGGCATACAGAAAGGTAAAACCTGACCTCACTCCTTTAAGGACAGAAGGAATAGGATAGAAAGAACTAGTTATAAGATAATGAAGAGAAAATACTGGCAAAACAGTCCAAAATGATCTATATATTTGGTTTTGTTAAATACATTTTTAATCCTCCTCAGAGGTTTTCATTACCAATTTTGTTTTGTTCAGTTAGTGTTAATTTTGAAGGGCTGAGCTGGTCTTATAATGTCCCTATAGGAAAAAACTGGAAGAAGAGAGCCTAAGACTTAAACTTTGATGGAAAATTGAGTTTACTGTATAACAAATAATGAGTTACATACCATCTTTTAAAAAGTCTACATTAGCCTGCTGTATCCTTTCCTTTAATCTTTTTGGAAAAAGAAATTCAAATTCCATCCCAAAACCAGGCTTTCCTTATATCCTCTATTAGAGGTTCTATTTTATAACCATGTTTTTATGCTGTATCACTTACTCAACTCTGAGCTCTTTGAAGGCAGGGACCTATCTTATTTATCTCTGCATCCCAAAGTTTAACAGAGAAAGGAATTTGTTACAAACAGGTTCAATAACTGTTTGCTAAATAAACTGGATCTTAATCTAACCTAAGAATGAAATAGCTATCCTGAAAATGGCATGCTATTATATGAAAAACTAATAAAAAATACATGAAGTAAGACTTCAAAAGTAAGTGGAACACAACTTCTTTACAGATATAGCCCATGACAAAATATACAGTAAACCTGATTGTGTGAAGAGAAACTTACTTGGACATAAGGAGCATAAAATCATTTAGTAGAATGACTGGAAAGTGTTAAATTAGAGGATGAGATTACCTATCACACCTGGGCACTCAGAGTACATGCAGAGCTGTACCTGATCAGTTCTAGCTGAGCCAGTTCCAGATTGGCTTGAAAAATAGGCTTCTTTGTGAACAGTTCCCCAAGGATGCAGCTAGAAAGAGTAAAATTGAGAGGTCAGAAGAGAAATCTCTGGCACCTATTTAAACTGTGTCTCAATAAACTTCTATATCAGACTGCATCGAATATATACAATGTTGTAAATTAGCCCAAAACTGCAGTGTCTGAGTTTCATAAAAAAAATTTCTTGCAGTTAAAATAATATAAAGGTTTAAAATTTGCCAGTATATCAAACTTTGCCACCTCTAAAGGACAGTCTATATATAAGCAGAGAAAGTGAGTCAAAATTCCTTTTCTATCAAGTCCATTGTAAATTAAGGAATTAACTAAAGATTTAAAATCCCACACTTCAATTTTGCAAGGATACTCAGCAGTTCCTATAGAGAATATTAGCTTTTTTCATTTATCTGCTCTGTAGAATGTGTACTATACTACAGCCTTCCGGGCACTGTATTTTAAAGAAAAGTTTATTATCATCAGTCAAGATCAGTTTCAATAGGACTTTTAGAAACATTATGCTTAAACATCTTTATCCTTTTGAAAAGGCTATTCAGAACTATACTGACATATTTACATAGTCTCCAAATTTCTCTCCACAAATTACTTATTAATTGCAAAAGCATCAGCCCTAAGAAGAGATGAAATATTGCCATTTGTGATAACGTGGATGGACCTTGAGATAATCATGCTCAGTGAAATAAGCAATACAGAAAAAGTTGAAAACCACATGATATCACTTATATGTGGGATATAAACCTAAAAGCAACAAACAAATAGGACAAACAGAAACTCATGGACATGGACAATAGCCTAGTGGTTACCAGAGGGTGGAGGGTAGGGGAGAAGAGATGGGGTAAAAGCAGTCAAATATGTGGTGACAGAAATCTAACTATGGGCAGTGAACACAGAATGCAATATATATATGCCTTACTGTTAAATTGTGCACCTGAAACTTACTGGATTTCGTTAACCAATGTCACCATAATAAAAAATAAAATGAAATAAAACAACAAAAAAGGAAAACTAGTAACTATTTAGTAAGAGAAAAAAGATGACACCTGTGACCAAAATTAACATCACCAATAAGGAGCATATAGGGTTCACTGAAGTACAAAGGTGTTATCTTGAAAAGAACACTTATGGAGTATTCCAGCCAAAAATTCATAACCTGAACCTATTTATTATCTGGTCTGTATTCTTCGAAAATGCAAATGTCATGAAAGACAAAGAAAGGTTAAGGAACTGTTCCAGATTAAAGAATGGCAACTAAATGTAATACATGATACTGGATTAGATCCTCTATCAGGTGAGGTATTGTTTCTAAGACATTATTATGTACATAAAATGAGAATATGGAATATAAGCTAAAGTATTCTATTGAATAAAGGTAGTATACCAATATTTAAGTTCCCGAATTTGATAATTGTACCGTGATTACTTAAGAAAATGCCTTTGTTCTTAGGAAATGTATATTAAATATTAAAAAGAAAAGGACCATGATATACAGAACTACTTTCAAATAGTTCTGGAAAAAAACATGGTATATTTATAAACATATATTTTTATTCTATGTATATATTGTATGTTGTGTGATATATACACACAAATACACATACATGAATATAAAAGTAAATGTGGCAAGATGTTAAAAATCAGTGAATCTAACATGAATGAATCTCAAAATAATTATGCTGAATAAAAGATGTAGAAGAAAAAAAGAGCATATACTATGATTCCATTTATATAAAAGTCTAGAAATGGAAATCAATCAATAGTTATAGAAAGTGGAACAATGGCTGCCGGGGAATGGGGTGGTATGCACAGGAGAAAGAAATTACAAAGGAACACATGGAAACTTTTGGAGGTGATATTATCTTGGTTGTGGTGATGGTTTCACTGATGTATACAATATGTACACTTTAAATATGTATAGTTTATTACACACCTAAAAGGTTAAAAAAAATTAGTGAATCTGGATAAAAGCTATACTAAAGTTCTTTGTACTGTTCTAGTAACTTTTCTGACATTTGAATTTATTTCAAAATAAACTTAAAAATAAGTGAAAAAAACTACACAAATACTTCATGTTTTTGTATGTGTGAAATATTTCATTTTTTAAAAAGTGGAGAAAGAAAAAAACTGACAAAGAATCTCTTCTCTGGCCTGCGCTCTGAAATGAGATTTATTCACAAATACAAAACCAATGTTTATAGTTTTATTTTAAAAGTACTTAGCTTGACTAAATTTGAGAAAGCAAAATAAACCTAGCTCTTAAAGTTATTAGCACCTTTCTGTTAACATTTCTTAACGTCAAATGACAAATTCTTACTTCCAACATTCTCTCAAACCTTACCCAGAGATAAAAAAGTAAAAATAAAATTTCACTGTTTCCAATATTAACTGCCAAATCAAATTCCAAATAACAATGTTGTCACAAATGGTAAAATAAGAGAAAAACACAAACAAACAAACAAACAAATCCAGCTTGGTTTTCAGACTCTAGGTATAATTTGTGTACTGGTCTTTTAGTTTCTCCTCTGATTTTCAAACTGAACCACTCCAGCAATTCTCTGAAAAGAAGATTCTACAAAAATATCTTCAGAGAGACTACCAAAGATCACCAAAGATCACCAAAGTAGTAAGCTCACATCAAAAGTCAAATAAAATCTCAATTCAATTAGTCATTGGGCTTTAAAGGAAGTCTAATTTTCTATAATTTTAATTTCCTAATTAATTTGTTTTTCCTAATTTCAGTCTTTTGGTGAAGACATAGTTATGTAATCAACACTTTGTTATTGCACTAAGGTGGTAGGTTAGAGAGACTTAAATAACAGTACCAACAGAGCTATGAACTTTCCCTATGCATCTTAATAGGGCATTAACTTTAGAGTCTAGTTGCGACAATTTAAATACTAATACTGTTATAGCAAATAGTTCAGAACACAAACACACCCAACTTCAGTCAATAAAATTTAACTAAAGCTTCATTTGACTTGGGTAGGCTACCACAGAAATTGTGCTCTCTTTCTCTGTCACCTTTTTCATTTTTGAAATAAAACCTCTGCAGTGTTCCTTTTAAAGAATGACATTAACAGGTCCTTCTCAGTACCTTTATTCTGTCTCTTTCTTCTCTTACACTATCCCTCTCAATCTCTGCCTCTGAGAAGAGACCACACTCTGGAGTGTTACCCATTTTCTAATAAACTTTACTTTAGACTCTTTAAAAAAAAATGACATTAATAGAGAGAAAGAATGGAGAAAGTGATATGCTCTACTGGACAGTATATATCAGAATCCTGAAGTATGAGAGTCAAGGACAGCGTATGTATGCATAAATCATATAGCATAAGAAACAATGAACAAACATGGCCCATTTAAATTGTCTACACCCCTAACAAACAAACTGTAAATATCATTTTCCATTAAAGAAACTAAGACTCCTTAGAGAAATGGCTGATACCAGGTCTGGGGCAGGAACTGAACAAGACAAGCCTGGAACCAGAAAACAAGGAAAATGATCAAAGACTACTATGGTTATACCAAAAGGACTCAAGAATTAACCTTAATAAACTCCAGGGGCCAAAAACTGGACAGTCCGAACAGAAATCAAGATGAAAACTATAATGGATTAAAACATATCAAATATGTTTAATTCTATGAGTTCGTAATAAAACTAAAATACAAACCCCCAAAACCCTCTCTTTGGTCATCATTGGAGGATGCTAGGAAACCACCTCATTACCTTGAAAACTGGTAAATAAAATAAAAAAATTAAACCTTTATCCCTATCTTTTCCATATTATTTGTACTAAGGGGCAGTCAAAAATATAAGTGATCTTTATTCCAGGAAGGAATGATATAATTAGAATATCACCATTACAAAACAACCACAAATAAATAGATGTGGATCATTAACCCATTTCCCGTTTATTAAAAAAAAAAAAAAAGAGCAGCTCGCTGCCCGGGTAAATTTAATTTTACATAAACACGCTCTTTGAGGCTGAAGCAAATCTGACTGGTTTTCAGTGTGAAAATAAAATATAAAAACTGTTCTTGGAGTTATTTCTGAACAGAACTTGTCTCTAATCCTAATGTAGTAGAAATGTATACGCAAATCAGATTCATCAAATGACTCTTCGGCTAACAACTGTTCGAGAATGATGTTAACATCACGCATAGGAATGCCACATTTTCTAGGATTTGACATTTTTGGCAATTGAGAATTACTATATTTTGTAAATGGAAATACCACTACTAAAAACAGAATGCTATAAATAGAATAATGTTATTTGTTTCCAAAGACTACCGATATACTAGAGCTATGTGAAAATAATAAAAGCGAGGTATTTCGTGGCAAACTTCGAGGTTAAAGTTAAGATTGTAATCCATGAGTTATATTGGGGTAAACTCTGCAGTTATAACACTAACATTTCAAAAAGAGACAACTATATATCATGTAAAGTAGTGTGTGTGTGTATGTGTAAATCTCCCCTAACAGGGATAAATATTTCATCAGGCATTGTTTAGAATTGCTGTATAAGGTGATAATAAAAAGCAGACTAATTTGTAGTGAATTATTCTATTGTTTTTAAATCCTTTATAGATAATGTATCTAGTTATTAAACTCTGGGCAGAGACTCCCACTGCCTCCCACACCCAACTTTGATGTACCATTAGACTATATAATCTCTCAGATGTACTCGAAACCACATGTAAAGTGGTTTCAGGGTCAGTGGATGATTGGGAATCAAACCCGAATTCACCTACAATTTACAGGAAACAAAAAGGATAGAGAATCATGCTAAAACACTACAACCACCACCACCACCACCACCATAAGGATGCAATCAGCAAAATCCAAACTGAAAAGATCTACAGGAAAAATGACCTAGTTTCTTCTAAGGAAATTGTAAGGAGGGTGGGGGAACCCAAGAGAGATGGAGAGAGAATCTACAGTTAAAAGACTTGAGATAATCAACTGTAATCTATGGACCTTATTTGAATATATTTAGATCCCAATTCAAACTAGATTAAAAAAAGAGTTGATGAAATTTTTTTAAAAAAGTGTCTCATATTAAAAAATGTTCAACAGATTTATTTAACACCTGTCTAAAAGTTTATTCCTATCCTTTCGAGCTTTAAAAAAAGCTGCAAAAGCCAATGTACCGAGAAAACAAGGTACAAGTTCAGTATGTGAGTTACAAACAAAAGAAAAGTGCAGGAAGCCTTACCCACAGCTCCAAACATCTATGGCTGGTGTGTAACGCTCCTCTCCCAGAAGAAGTTCTGGAGGTCGGTACCATAGAGTAATGACTTTGTTGGTATAAGGGCGACTGAAATGTAAAAAACCACCAAGACATAAATTTACAATGGCTTCTGATGCAAAATACTTGTACATTTAAATGCAAATAGAAATAGCTACTGATTGAAGATGAGATTATCAAAACAGCTCCATAGCAACCTAAGAGTTCAAAAGTAAACTAGACACAAGTAGGAAATGAATAAATAATTTCCATCCAATTTGGGTCGATTTATTTTAGTCCAAGGCTGATTCAACAATTTAGATAGAATTTACTCTCTACAATCTAGGTGGTAACACATTTAGAAAATTAGGGACTCTGACAGTTATTGCAACTTGCAGGATACTACAATACCCAAGAATAAAGAGGATTCTTTCCTATTTCCCACATGTAACTTTGATGAATGCCTTACCTCTCTTCAGAGTTATAGAGCCGCGCAAGTCCAAAATCTGCTAGTTTGATTTGCCCACTGTAAAATAAAAAACAATTATTTTCATAAATAATAGCAGCAACCTCTAAATTATACCTAAAAAGACAAGCACTAATTTAGAAGTTAAAAGAATTACAAAAATTAATTTTAATCTCTATTCTCTTAGTTCTACTCTTAATGGTCACTCTCCCAGATTGTGGCTCTTTTGACTACTCCAGTTTATAAAGCCTTATGCTTTGTTTGTTTGTTTTTGAACAACCACTGTATTTTTGGATTTAACTCAGCTAAATATTTTATTTCTTGGCAAACAACAGTTGCTAGAACCTGCCAGAATAAATATTTATTGTTTGGTGAAAAAAAGGGCTGTTATAGATTAAGAGAGATTTAAGAGGCCTAACAATAAATCCAATTCATAATCCTTGGCTGATTCTGGTTTGAACTAGGTACATGAAAGACATTTTTCACATAATAGTAAAATGCTAATTGCATATATATTATTAATTACATTAGTGTCTCAATTGTTGTTTATTAGAAAAACTTGACATTTTCCTAATAAAAAGTAAACAATTCTGTGGCTTTAACCGATTTCTTTCAAACAAGGAAAACAGCTTTGATCTGAGCAAACAATTTTTATGATAAGTGAGGCTTCTTCTACAAGCCTACTGCCGTCACTTCTTATACCATGATATACAACTATGGCCTTAGAGCAGTGGTCTCTAACCTTTTTGGCATCAGGACCAGTACTCCTATGAGAATCTAATACCTGATGACCTGAGGTGGAACTAAGGCCACCTGCTAGCACTGGCAAGTGGGCTGCAAATACAGATGAAGTTATGCTCTCTCACCCACCTCCTTCTGCTCACCTCTTGCTGTGCAGCCTGGTTCCTAACGGGCCACAGGCTACGGACCAGTACTGGTCGGTGGCCTAGGGGTTGGAGACCTCTGCCTTAGAGGGGTTCTCAAACTTTAATATCACCTGGAAATCACCTGGAAAGCTTGTTAAATGTTTCCTGGGCCCCATTCCCAGAGATGCTTATTCAGTAGGTCACAGCCCACAAATTCCAATTTCTAACAAGCCCAAAGGTGATGCCAATGCTGCTGGTCTGAGAATCACACTTTGAGAACCACTCCCTTAAAAGGATCACACCCACGTTTCACTTTGCTAAGTGTTCTGTCTTGACAATAATGTCAAGTAATATTTTAATAAACTGCAACACAGAATGTTGGGAAACTATTTAAAAACCATTTATTAACTATTCTGGATTAATCATACTTATCTAAATTGTTATGTAGCCTACTTATTTACATTTACAACTTGTGTTATCTCTTGGGAAATGCAAAGCCAGGTGCATGATAACTCAAATCAGGCAGAAAAATGAGATAGAAAAAAAGGAGACTATGCTAGGAGGTGCTCCTCAAAATATTAGCAATAAGAATAGTAAAACAAGGTACCTACTACAGGCACACCTCATTTTGTTGCACTTTGCTTTATTGCACTTTCATCAGCATGGGGGCAAGAACCTCCACCAACAAAAAAAATTTAGAACTCACCAAAGGCTTAGATGATGGTTAGCATTTTTTAGCAATAAAATATTTTTTAATTAAGGTATGTACTTTTTTTTCTTAGACATAATGCTACTGCATTGAATACACTACAGTACAGTGTAAACATTGCTTTTATATGCACTGGGGAACCAAAAAATTGGTGTGACTCATTTTATTGCGATATTTGCTTTATTTTTGGTGATCTGGAACCAAACTCGCAATCTCTCTGAGGTATGCCTGTAACAACGAAACTTTACATTAAATCAACCCTTATTATTCCTAGTAAAGATTATAAGCATCTTACTTACTTGCCCCAAACACCATTACATTTTAAAGTTCAATTTATAAGCAAATTCTGAGAGAAACAAAAAGGAAAGGAATAGCTGATTTGAGCCCTATCTTGAGACAAAAAGGGTTCCTCAAATTTCTTGGCATCCTTACTCTGAGAGGGGATCCAAGATTCAAGGTATATAGTAGGACTAAAAGTTAAAATGGCAATACATATATAGTTAGAGAAAATTAGGCTAGACCTAAACACCACCAGCAGCTATCATATTTCCTAATCCATCCCCTCCCCTTCTCACTCTCAGTAAATGACCTTTATTGAAAACAGAAGTCATTAGGTGAGAACTTAACATTACCTATAAACTTTTTACACCTATAATCTTCCTTCTTTTCCTTCAATTGCAAAACAAGTGGATCAATCTCTTGTTCAAGGATAATCAACACCTACACTTGTGGCTACTACCATCTGTGGCCTTGATCCCATCTCTAGAACCTTGCTACTTTAAATTATCTGGTTATTCCCTGAATCTTCAATGTCTCCCTCTCTACTGATTTTCTTTTCCCTTAGCATTTAAAAACGCTCAAACCGGGGTGGCTCCATAGTGTAGTGGTGAGCACGTCTACTTTACACGCAGAAAGTCCTAGGTTCGCACCCCTGGTGGAGCCACGGACCATACCCCAGGTGTGTCAGGTCCCCTGGGTGCTCCAGGCCCTAGGGGCGTGCTGCAAGTGCGTGGGAGGAGACACCCTGCCTTCAGAGATCCAGTTCTTAAGGGGAGATGGCAACATCCGTAGGTCAGGGATGGGAGTGTGTGTGGGGGAGGGATTAAAGAGTGGAAAAAAAACTGCTCAAACCTCTGCATCCTTAAATAAAATATAAAAATCAAAAAATTAAAGACACATCTATCTTCACCTTCCTATTAATTGAGCTACCCACCCACTTACACTGTCACCACTGACTTTTACATTTTCATATTCTCTTCTTAGGTGTTATAATCTGTCTGTGGTATCTGACATCTATGATCCCTCCTTCTTAAACTGGCCTATTTTGTATTCATGATATTTCCTTATTTTCTTCCTCTTTCTCTGACCATTCCCTTAGGTTCCATCTTCTGACACCTTTTCTATGCTTGATAACTCCTGAATCTATACTGCTAGTTTGGAACTCCCATGTGACCATATGCCTATTAGGTATCACTGCCCTAGGTACGCAACGGACATATCCAAAAGGGATTTATTTACTCTTCACTCCACCCATTTTGCTCTTCTTTCTGTAATCTCCATATTGACCATTTTGCCACCCATCTAGTGAGTTTCTCATCAGAAATCTGTGAGATATCTTAAAATATTTTCATTCATTCCCAACCAAAGTTTATTGATCTACCAAGTCCATCCTGTCTATCTTTACTAGTAATGCCTTAGCTAGTTCAAGAACTAATTATCATGGTGTTCTTAATAGGTCTCTCTGCCTCCAGTGTATATCCCACTTAGTGACTTTTCTGAAACTACACTGTGTCTCCTCTATCTAAAACGACTTGGTCTCATTTATACTTGTATATTTAAGATATAATGAACATCATAGAGCCTAGCCCTACCTCCCTCTCTCATCAACTGCTTTCTCTTCCTTGTCCAGTTGAGTTCTCCTTATCATTCTCTCCAGGCCATCTCACCTATAAGTCGCTGTGTAGACAGAACTAAATGGGCACGAGCAGAGGCTGGATGGATCAGACTAGACCATGAGACTCCTGCATCCTGCTTAGCTTCCTGAATATGGAAATCAGAGACACGGAGGGGCTTGGCCCACCAGAAAGGACACTGATCAGGACTGCAGTTATTCCCTGGCCTGAGACATCCCCCAGGGAAGAACAAAAGGACCAAAAGAAAATATATTAATACTACAGTCCAAGAAGCTGCAAGCTGACAAACATCATCAAATTCTTTAAGCATTATTATTATGGATGTAGATTAACCGAGCCCAGCTTTAATGAGAATTGTGGGATCACAGAGATAGCAACAGAAAGAATAATCTCTTAACACCATGTTTTGTCTCATAAAGATATTTAAATACAAATATATATTTTATGTATGTTTTAAATTTGTAATAATGCATTAATAGTTTAATTTAAAAACAAAGGATTAACTGAGCCAACATCCTTCAATGACTGCCATCTACAGATAAAACTTAAGTTCCTCAATGACATATGCAAGATCTGGCTTCACCAGTGCACTTCTTGCCCTAGCAATACTGTTTACAGTTTTCCAGACATGTTCTTTTCACATTTATGTGCTTTTGTCCATGCAATTTCTTTTGCTTAGAAACTTAACCCTCTGCTGTCGGTCTTTCTGATAAACTCCTTTTAATTCCTGGGAGCATCTTCCCAGATGCTCCCAAATTCAAGGAAAAATTGGGTTTAATAAATGTTTACTGAACTGAACAATTTGTTTCGATCCCCTACCTAACTCTGAGCTCTCCAGTGACCAACTATCCCATATGACACTTTTAGTGCTAAAACCAGGACAGTCCTAGGCAACCCTGGATGGTTGGTCATCCTACTCCACAAAGACAGAAAATATGTCATAATCATTCCATATCCCTATCTAAATAATGTTTGTCAAATATAATTGAACAGAAATGTTTAAAACAATGGGTGAATCAAAGATGGCTGTAAAATTTCCTAAAGAACCAAACACTGGCCTGATTCAGTGGTACCAGACTTACTTTTTATTCAATAGATAGGGCTATTAACAAAGACTAGAGTGCATAACACATATAATATCACCAATGCAGTTTAGGCAAATAGCCAAAGAAGAAAGTAGATGATAAAAACTTCTGAAGAATTAACACTGCTCATCAAAGAATTCATGTCTGTCTACACTATTAAAATCTATGAGTAAGTGCTGGGCAAAAAAGTCAATCAACAACTACAGCTGTTTAGTCTGAATTCTGATAACTGAGAGTCTCAAGAGCAGCTAAAAGAACAGGCATGTTTCTCCTCACTAAACAAGGGAGAATTTCACTAAGATCTCAATATCTGTTTGAATTTGCCTAGGACCACATATTATTTACTAACTATGGCTAAAATCTCTGAGTAGGATGTGAGTGATTTCCTAAAATCTTTGCAATTAAAAAAACCTTTACAACTCTGCCTCTGTTGATTCCTTATCAACACAGAGTCTGGAGACTCTACTAATCAGGATATCCCTATCCTAAGTTGTTCCTAAGGCACAAACATCAGATGTATGTAAATGCAAAAAAATGCATTATTGGTTCTACCAATAATGCAGTTTTTACCCCAATTAACTAGCTGAAACTAAGGGGGGTCAGAAGAGAAGGAGAAAATGTTTATCCTCATTTGGTTTTACTATGTTACCTGTTGTTCAGCAAAATGTTAGAACACTTAATATCCCGATGCAGGAAATTCTTTTTGTGACAATAATCCAATCCTTCCATTAGCTGTTTCATGAATGACTTGATATGGTCCTCAGAAAAGTGCACCAAACCAGATTCTAGCAGTCCCATTAAGTCGTGGTCCATATACTCAAATACAAGGTAAAAGGCACCTATATAAGATGAAAGAAAAAAATTAAAACAAGAGAAAGAAGATTATGAAATGACAATGCCTCAAATTTTAATATAACTTTGGAGTTGACCATAAAGCTCTCTGGAACAACCGCGTAATTTTATAGATGAAGAAACTGAAATTCAGAGCAGCTGAATAACTTGCTCTTTCTAATAATAACAGAACTACTATTTGAATTAATGTTCTGACTCTTAGTCCAGTGCTCTTTGGACTATTTAAATCTTGAAAGGGACAACTCATGAATGGTATTGTATTACTACTCTTTTATGATCTAAATCAGTTAACAAATTATAGACCTTGGGCTGAATCCAGTCTGCTTGTCTGTTGTAAATAGAGTTTTATTTATAACACACAACCATGCCTGTTTGTTACATATTGTCTATGTTCACTTTTGCAGAAGTCTTTACCTTAGTAAATAAGATTCACATAATATGCCAGGGCAGCATGATATATTTAGTTTGTTATGAGTGCAATTCATAGTATTTTTAAGAATCAAAAGAAAGGTGAATCATCCAATTAAACTCCTTAAATTTAGAAGTTGATAGAAGGAGAAGTACACCAAGAAAACTGTAAAAGATTTGAAATCCACTTTATCATTCCACTTTCAACAGGGTGCATGATAGAGACAAATTTTGTAACTTAATAGACCGAGTTAGACACTGCTATACCTATTCTCAAAGTCTGTCTTCTAGCGGCATAAAGACAAAGATTTTTAATCTAGGGGGTAGGCTTCAAAGACTCTTTGAACTCTCTGAAATAGTACTCGACATTTTAAACACATATATATGCAACATTTTAAAGGTATTTTTTTGAAAAATGTATCCACGTTTAAAGAGGTCCATAATCCCCAAAAAGTTAAGAACCACGGCATTAAGGGAATGTTTTAGAGAGATTTAGCTACAACCTCATACAAATAAAAACACTGAAATTACAAAAGATAAGTAGACAAAGGACACAAAAGGAAAACTCAAAAAAAAGGTAAAACTGATAAACATGGAAAAAAACTCAGAAGTAATATAAGAAATGCAGTCCAAAATATCATACTTCACCTACCAAGATGACAATTTATTAAAAAGATATACTTAATGTTAAATTATTATTTTCTTAAAAGCAATCTAACATTAAATATAAAAACCCTTTTGACCAAATAATTCTATTTCTAAGAAACTATATTAAGAAATAAATCTAAATGCAAATATTTATGTACAAAGATGCTCAAAGTTCTATTATATATTTTTTAACTGGCAACGAATTGCTCAACAAAAATTGAAGTAAATTTGGATTCATCCATTTTTATGCACAGTCATTAAAACATGTTAATATGGGAAATTGCTTATGACAAATTATAAAACATTAAATATACTTTGATCCCAATTATGTTAAAATAAGCATATATATGATATAAAGTACTAGAAAGAAATATGCCAAAATGCTAATACTATAGTGGTTTTCTATTGATGGTGGTATACTGGAATGGAGTGAGAGAGAAGTAACTGCCATTTTCTTTTTCTCGTTCGTCTATATTTTCAATCTTTCCACAATGGGCACGTATCATATCCATCTGCCCATTATTTAATTTTTTTAAAAAGAATTTAAACAGTACATGGTAAATTATTTAAATAGTACAGAATGACACTGATGAAGTCTCCAGAAACAATCAATTAATATTTTCTTATTTGCCCTTATAGAAACTAGCTATACTTACATTATTTTTATGATCAGAAAAAGACACACCCAGAAATAAACCTAGTATTCTTAATTTCATTCAGATCTAATGTTCGCAAATTTATCTAATTACTTTTCATAAGCAGAATTTCCTTTTATTTGCCTTAAAACTACTTCTACCAAACTCAAGAGGTGCTAATCCCCTAGTGCTAATATCTTTGAGGCTCTGTAAATAAGTGCAGCTTAACTTTATCCACTACCTTCCTAATTTTATGTATTTCAATCATATTTTTATAAAATTTATTTTTAATTATGGTTGACATAAAATATTATATTGTCTTAGGTATACAATACAGTGATTCTACTATGTACATCTTTTATATACTTTATGATTACCACAGTAAGTCTAGTAATCATCTGTCACTGTACAGTTATTATACTATTGATTATAATCCCTATGCTGTACATTACATCCCTTGACTTATTTTATAACTGGAAGTTTGTATACTCTTAATCCCCTTCCCCTTTCCCTCCCAATTATATTCTTTCTCAACATTATAGATTAAATTTACAGATGCCATCTCTTCACAGTTGCTCATGTCTAAACCTTCAGATTTGCTTCAATAAAAGTAGTTAGATGTTATATTACAGACTACTTCAAATATAAGTATGGAAACAATGAACAAGTTTATCCCCCAAATGAGACAAAAGTTACAAATCCAGGAAAACAAACCACTATGTGACCTGAAGATGATTTAGAAATACCTGCTTTGAATTCTAAAACTGTATCGGTGCAAAACTATGTAAAAATATGAATGTATACAAACAATAACCAGAAGGGATGATATAAAAATGAGAGTAAGAAACAAACGCATAGATACCAGAGAACAAAACTGATGTTTGGCAGATAGGAGGATGGGTGAGGGAATGGGCAAAAAGGGTGAATGGGATTAAGTACCACCAACTGTCAATTATAAAATTAGTGATGGGGATATAATGTACAGCACAGAGAATATACTCAGTAATATCATAATAACTATGTACGGTGACAGATGGTTACTAGACTTATCATAGTGATCCCTTCATAAGGTAAATGAATGTCTCAATAAATCACTATACTATATACCTAAAACTAATACACTACTGCTTGTAAAGTATAATTAGAAAGAAATTTAAAAAATGAGAGTAAGTGATAAATCTGGGTTTCAATTTTCATTACTGTTGTTATAATTTATAAGAAAAGGATTTAAAATATTGATTGGAAGAGGATCTTATAAATGTTTACATGCTATTGCTTCTCAGCCTTTTGGCTAAAATCTAGTATCTGTTCAAATCAGTTTAATTGTTTACATGCTGACCTTACTAAGTGTTACAACAGACTCTAATTTTAATGATTATCAATGATTTATTTTTTTAATTAAATTTATTGGGGTGACTAACAACGATTTCTAAAAGTATGAGTATACTAATAAAGAATGGACATTTTATAAAATAAGCACTGTTCAGCACAAGAGCAATCTTAATTCTGGTAGAGATGCAAGAAAGAAGCTAGATTTTAGTACAAACTGTTAAATTCAAACAGTCAAACAATCTAAGAAAGGGAAGTAAGATGTACCAATCCACCTGTAGAAACATAGTTCTTTGCTCGTACCTTTGTCCTTTTTGAAATCCAATGCATCTTGTTTATCTGTGACGATTTCCTTCATGTTAACAACACTTCTGTGGATTAACTGACGAAGGATTTTGATCTCACGAATGGCTGTGATTGGGAAGCCCTCTTTCTCATTGTCTAGTCTCACCTTCTTCAGGGCCACTAGCTCTCCTGTAACAATAAATTCAAACTGTTAAGATTTTCAATTAGCATTTTTTGGCTCTCATTATGAACCACCCAATACATGTCTTTGTTCTGAAAGATGGACTTAATGTCTACTTTAATGCTTTATGCCAGATACTTTTTTTTTTGCAGTTGGACTGTTTATTCAGGTGATATATCTCAGGAAGAGAGAACCTATAACAAATCTCAATGTATGGTTGTGACCCTGAAATTGTTGGCTGTTAAAAACAAATAAAACCAAGAAGCACATGTACTTGGCACTTCTTTTTTCTCTATGCTAGATAACTTTTATATCTTAAAAATTAAATCCCTAATTCTCTTTCTTATCTTTGATTTTTTTAAGACTTGAATTTTTAAATGTTAGGCCTAAAAATTGTGGTTATTAAAATATGCCAATAATTCAACTACTTTATCTTCGAGAATGAACCCCCTACCAAAGAGCAACTTACACATTTTTACCCTCTCTTAAATCTCAAGCAAGCTTATTATGAAATATTTACAATAAACAACAAAAAAGGAAGGTTTTTAAACAGTAATTTTACTATTCTTTTGGAAAATTTTAGTGTATTTAGTAACTCTTGAAGGCCAAATTAGAACTCAAAATTTACTTTTGCTAAATCCACTTAAGACATTAGTAGTGCTAACTTTTTAATGTTCTGACATCTAAAATTTTGTGGCAATAGTTACCTGTGTCTTTGTCCTTGGCTTTATATACTTGGCCATAGGTTCCCTCTCCAATAATCCCAATAATGTCAAACTTGTCCACACAGCGCTTCCCCCAGTCACTTTCTGTTTGTCTTCTTTCTCCATAACGAGGACAACAAATTCTAAAAAAGGCAAAACAAAAATAAAAAAAGTATTTTTAAAAATTAAGTCTTTTCAAAGAAAACAATTCTTTTATGATGATATTCTGACTCTTGACTTTTATGAATTTCTTTATTAAAAAGATAGGAATTAAGTGATATGAAATAAATAGTTTAAATAGTCTCTCATAATGACTAAAACAGATTTTTTACTTCAGAAAGACATAAGACCAAATAATAGATATGGTGCTTACTTTCTGAACTTTCTTCAGTATTGGCTTTCTCCACTACAGAATAGGAAAATAATCATGACATCATAGGCTTATCATAAACATAAATTATGAAACTTTGGCAATGATATATGCTCAATAAATAGTAACTATTTTTATTGAGAAGAACGCTAACAACCAGATCAAACCCAGATTCTACTATGTTTATGGGACAGCAATTTATGTGATTAAGCGGGGGTGGGGGGGGGAATCCCATTTTATTATAAAAAATTTTTTTTAATCTATTAATTTTCCATTCATGTGTACATGGTTGATTCACCCTGAATAAAAGGGCTTTTTTTTTGTCTTCAGTACTCTAAATATTCTGAACTCAAAATACAGATCGTTTGTGGTATATTTGGATTCGGAAATTATTGCTTTTCTAAAAAACACAACTAGGTATCTGTGGGTACTGATGAATGGGTCTCCTAAGAAGGCTTTTATCCATTAAAATAAAAGAAACATATCAGGTCCAATCTTTTAAGAAGCTACTGGTGTGGGTTGCAGAAGAAAGTGTGAGATTTAAGCCCAAAGGTTCGTTAGTGTAATAAAAGGTGTAATTAAGGATAAGTTCCTTCAAAAACTCACTTTGGTCTTTTTTTATACGGTTGCTGAGGTGGTGTTATTGCCTTTGGTTCTGGAGAGTCTGGGGGTGATGGATCCCCACCAGGGAGCTCTGGAGGGAGAGGGAGGTCCATGAGTAAGTGACGAGTCCTTTGTTCCTTCTCTTTCTTTACAGGTTTTGAAGGTAGAGTTTCTTTTGGACTAAACAACAGACAGTAAGAGAAGAAAAAGATTACAATTACTTAAAGGATATGCAAATAAAACTTTCAAAGGTTATAATGTCTGACTATTAAAAGATTACAAAGATTTCTCATTTAAGGAGAAAAACCCTGTAATACAAGGTAAGAAAATGGAGCTTATCAAAGGTAAACACACTTGGATTTTACAAAATCTATAGTATTCTAAAGAAAAAATAAAAACTTTGGATTACTTGTAAGTCCTTTAACAAACCCTCCTTTTAATGTCTTTCCTAAGATTCTGTTTAGATTTTTACTGAGACAAAATAATCACCTAAAATTCGCAAAATACCACTGCAACTCATGGAGTCACCAAACCTACCCTATATTTTAACCAACAAATATTTAAATAACTGAATGAGAACTCAACAGTATAACACTACTATATTACTAAAGATGTGGCGAGAACTTGGAAAAAGGAAATAGTATTTACAGTGTTTTGTAAGAAAACAGCTGGAGATCAAAATTAGTGAAAAATATACTGATTTGGAAACAAAAGGCAACCATATCTGAACAGCCAAAATGGATAAATAACCCTCAAACTAAAATCTCAAAGTCCAAGCAACTATCTGAAAACCATTAAAGTAGCTGGTAGCAGAAGCTCTCTCATGATAACAAATTATAGTAGCTGAGGGTTGTGGAGGAGAATAGCTTTTCTGGAATAGATTAGAAAGGTCAATTTTCAGATCCAATTTTTTAACTATCTCAATTTATTTATAAGTAAAGAAAGGATTCTGTGCCATGCGTGTCCTCAGAAAAGAGAGTATAGCATACTAATTCATGACTACAGCATACTAATTCATGCCTACGAATAAAATCATGCTAGATAGTAAGCCTTTTCTATTCCATCACAGTATCAGAAGGTTGAAAAGGATTTGAGAATTCTAACCATAGTAGGAGCCTCCTCCACTTTTTTAAAAAAATTATTTATTATTATTATTATTTATGCCTACAGCACCTGGTCTTCCTAGGTGGTCTCTCATTCAAGTACTAACCAGGCCCAACCCTGCTTAGCTTCCGAGATCAGACATCAGGCTTGTTCAGGGTGACATGGCCGTAGACCATTCCTCCACTTTTTTGACAAGTGGTTATAAAAACAGTTTTTTTCCTCTTAAAGCAGAATGTGACCTGGGCACTACATTTCCATTCACAAAACTTGCTCTGAGTTTCTAACAGCTTTACAACATGCCTAGGTAGGCTTATAATTTTGCTACTTTAAATGATACTTTTCTTTGGAAAACAAGCCTTATGGATAGTTACTCCCATCAAGTTGGTTCAGTTTAACATACTAATTCCTAGAGACCTGGTATATGCAGTTGATAACTAGAGGGAATGGGAAGCTTAAAAAATAGATCCCAGAAGATGAAACATATTTTTCCATGAATATGTCCATTGAATCCTAAATAACAAATTTATCTCTTGTAATGCATCTTTTTGAGCCATACATACTGCTGCCCTTGGTGTGTGAAATAATCTCAAAAGCTACTATTTCCTATCAATTTTCATCATTTTAATCTCTTGTATATCAGACAGAATAGAATCTAGATTAGTTTGTACCATATCAACCAGAAATGGAGTACAAAATGATCATCTGAAACTCTGTTAAATCACTGATAGAGATGAACATATAACATTATTATAATTTGCACCATGATTTTTCTACCCTGAGAACAAAGCCAATTACCAGAAAACTCTTGAGTCCAGGGTACAATTTTTTTAATTTCTCCAATTTTTAAGATATTCAGGAATGAAAATTCCTCATTTCTCAACTACTAATGTTAGAATATTCTTTATAAATTTAAATTCCTCATGATTTGGAAATACATTACTTCTTGGTTCTGCTTCACTGGAATTGAAGTATCTGAATTCTCTCACCATTACTTCATATAAGTTCAGTTTATGTTTTATATTTAGGTTTTGTTTTCCCCAAAGTTTACTTTATGGGTTCAAATATAATTTGTTACTGTGAAAATGTACATTGCTTCTGAAAAAAAAAAATCACATTATTAGCATGTTTATTTCAAGAAAGAATGAGTATTTGATAGGATGTGTATGTCCTACCAATTCAGGGCACACACGTTGAATACAGGTCAAATCCTATTTCAACAAATCCCAATGTACCAAACACCTTGGAATAATGATGGCCGGTAAAACTGCAATGCTTAACAATATCATGGTCTTCAGCCTTTAGTGTAGGGTACTCAGTAAAATATAGTTCCATATAGAGCTGAGGATATATGGATGCTGAGAGGGTCTAACATAGGGAAGCAGACAATGAACATCTAAGTCATTACTTAAAGATTCATTAACAGGAAGTGCTGATCCACCTTAAATCAGTATTGTTCCACATTTATACCTGTAGACAAATCACATAAGATGTGTAGGTTGCATAATGCTCATGTATAATAATTTTTTAAAAGTTGCCAGTCTCCAGGACTTGCCAAAATATTAATATCTAGTTAATCTCTTGAAATTTATGATGGGATTTAATCTGTAGGTATGATATAAACACCTCCAATAAGTTCTTATTATTAAAAAAGTATATTAAGAAAGTATATGAATTTACATATGAACTATTTAAAGAAAATTTCTTCATAACTAAAAAAAATCAACGGTATAAACTGATAAATATGACCATTTATCCTTTTCCCCTTAAAGCAGGTTGTTTAAAAAGTAATTTATTTTTACAAACTTCAATTAAAAATGAGCTGAATACATTAAATGAGAACCAAGCATTCTATCAATAAAATCCTAACTCAAATTTGAATGCTCCCACAGATCCTTCCTTTTCTATAAGAGCTCCATACGTTATATAAACAGCCTTTAAGAATAATGTAGTCTCATCTATGGCCGTGCTACCCTGAACAAGCCCGATCCGTCTAATCTTGGAAGTTAAGCAGGGTCGGGCCTGGTTAGTACTTGGATGGGAGACCACTTAGGAAGACCAGGTGCTGTAGGCATAAAAAAATAAGGAACTGTAAGCTGACAAAGTCCTTGCAATCTGTGAGGTCAACCTAGAGCTGTCTCGCCTCAAAAAAAAAAAATAGCATAGTCTCTACAGAAGTCTGATAAACTCCAAATGAACCAGGCTATCGAAAAAGAGAGCGATGAGAGATTTTAAAAACTGTATGTGGTTAAATGGAATTTTCAAGAGTAGATGATCTCTTTAAAAGCAGGACAGCCTCATGAAGAGCTATGTACTACAGTTGTATTATGTTATACTATACTGAGGTGGGTGTTTGGAAGCCTTTGTTTCTTGAAACCAAAAATTGTAGACCATGAATCAAAAAGGCTTTTGCAATACCATTTGTTAAATTCACTCCTGCATTTATTACCTTGTTAACAAACTCCTGCCCAATCTATGTTTGAAAGAAACATTTCATTCTTTTTCCAAAAGGATTTTAATTAAAAGACAATAAATCTAACAAAAGCTTTGTCATCCATGTGCTAATTGATTTCTTAACTACACACCCAATATCATTTCACACAAGCCCTGACTCTGGCTCCTTCAGCAGTTTTACTTATTCAAATAACCAATATTTATGATTGCATTCTGAGTTCTATATTTAAATCACTGCAGACAACAAAAAGACGTATAGGTCATTCTCAACATTTAAGCTGCTGCAATTTCAATGTGAGAAAGTAAAAGTATAGAGGAATATAAGTGAGTTCCATATGCAACTTTTAGATTTCTCTGACAAGTTTTCTTACATAAAAATTATTTTTCATGGGACATATAGGTACAGTTAGTACAAAGACAGAGTGGCACATATATGACAAAAACAAAAAACCATCTTGAAGTCAAAATTAATATATAGTGAAAAAATAAAATTGATAGTGGAAGAAATCTTCATTTCCATTTTTCTACCTTTAATAATTTACCGATATTATGTGGAAAAATGATGATAATCATACATTCAAAAATATACATTGGGTCTACGGCCATGCCACCCTGAACATGCCCAACCTCGTCTGAACTTGGAAGCTAAGCAGGGTCGGGCCTAGTTAGTACTTGGATAGGAGACCACCTAGGAAGACTAGGTGCTATAGGCGTTAAAAAAAAAACAACATTGGACTATGAAATTAAATAGTTATACTTTCAGAATCAGAATTGAGCAAAAATAGTTTTGCTCACTTCATTCTCTCTCACACATAATCTTAAAAGATAGCCACACATACTCAAAAAAGCACTAAATGGTCTTACTTTACCTTTCATCCCCAATCTGAAAGACAGAAATCCCAAAGTCAAAATCATTCCACCTCTGAAAATCTGCACTCTACACTGACTAGGTAAGGTTAGGTTCAATAGTTATTTGGTTAGCTAAGTAAACATTTCAAAATGAAAATTCTTAGCCACACTGATATTGTTCCAGCCATTATATAAACTAATATTTAAATGAGGTTCTTATGGCTGAATAATGAATGGCCTCGGGTCCTTTGGGATATGCTCAAATATTTCCTTTTCCAATAAAAACACGAAGCTTCTATCTGTATTTTGTGTACCTCAAACAATTTTTTCTACATAAAATCAGATTGTTCTTTTCCTTTGTAGTTCTCAGAATGTGGCAGATTCATTAATACCTATTAATATTAGAAATAGCATGTGGAATTTTTCTTTAAAATCAGATTTCCCACTATGAATAGTAATGGAGCTATTCTTTTAAATAGTCTTTTTTTTTTTTCCCCACTTATTGTACTTGCACCTTCTAAAAAGGCACAGAGGGTAGTCTGTAAAAATACAGACCTAAAGGGCTGAAATGCATCACTGTTCAAACTACCTGTCACTTGGAAAGTAATGGAGAGTTGGGAAGTGGGATGCAAGATCAGCACTTATTTTTGTGCTTACAAAGAAAGTTCACTGTAATGAATGAAACTCGTATCCTAGAGAACAAGACAGGATCTCAGTAGACTAAAACTAACACAAATGCTGTCATGATGTATGTCACTGCTAAATCATGTTTGGTTGGTGGTACTTGCCTCGCTAGTCTTACCAAGAAATTAAATAAATATATTTCCTAATGCCTTCCATAAAATCAGGTTCATGTTTCATACTCACTTCAGTTCTCAATACTCAGAGGACTCATTAAAATTAGAGCTTTCCCATTACCCCATTGTGAACTTATATTCTAATTAGCAAAGATTCCACACATTGTTCTTTTGCTTCTTATAAGATAATTCATTTTTTAAAGCAGCACTTTTCGAAATAAACCTGGTTTATTTTTCCCCTGGATCAGGAGTAAAAAAAAAAAAAAAAAAGCTATAAAAAACATTTAAAAACCCACTGAGAATATTTAATGTTATCATTATTAAGTTATCGACATTATATGATTAAATCAACAGTTAAGGGTTTTTTAGGAGTGATGAAGATATGGTTATATAGGAAATGTTCTTATTGTTAGGGAAGACATGCTAAAGTATTCATAAAGTGTTAGATATCTATAGTTAGAGCAAATGTGGCAAAAAGTTAACAATTGGTGAATCTATGTGAAGAGTATAAGGGTGTTAATTGCATCTCTCTTTTAATTTTTCTACGGCTATTAAAAATTTCAACGTAACAATTTAGAGAGAAAAACCTACGGATTTTTTAAACTATGAATGAAAATTAACCTTATCAATAAATAAATATGAGAAAAAGTTACTAGGCCTCAAACTGTAATTCTCTCTTCCTAAGTAATAATGTCATAAATATAGACTTTTCCATGAAAACCAAACATTAAATGCATTTCCTATTCATAAAAGTATTCTAAATAGAATAAATATTCATAAAAGTATTCTAAATGCATTACAGCAGTTTTGACCAAATTTGAGAACAAAAAATGCATTACACTTAGATCAAGAGGGTTAAGTTTTCTCAGTTCATTATAGGACTTACCTATCTATGTCATCATCTCCAAGTAATAAGGGTGGGAGAGGCAGAGGAGGCAACGTTGACGTTTTTAGGTGTGGAATAGCAGCTGTTACAGATACTTGAGTCTTCACAGAAACCTGTACAGGGGGCTGAGAATTTGCCTGAGAGGACAAAGTAGATGTCCTTGGATGAGTAGAAGGGGGTAAAGTTGAAGTACTGGAAGCAGGAGCCTGACTAAATGCTGGCTGGGGAGGAGGCAGAGGTGGTTGCTGTGGAATAGCTGGTAGTGGAGGCAGAGGTGGCAAAGGGGGTGTCTGAGGTGGAGGGGTAGTAGTTGGTAATGGAGGTGGAGAAGACGTAACTGTGGGGAGAGGTGGAGGGGTTTCCTTTTCTGATGTCTCTGTCTCTTTTGGAGTAACAACCTCCTCCTTCAATGCTACGGGTTTGGAGTCTCTTGTTCCCTGTGCTTTCAAATCTTTAAGAACAGGATGCTTCTCAGAGTTCTCATCCAACTTTAGTTTCCCTGTATCTAAAGAATTTTTGGCTTCTGTGTTTAGATGTGTTATATTCACCAGTTCAGTATCTGGGGCAGATTTTTCCAATTTTACACTTCTGGGTAACTTTTTAGACTCCAAACCTGAATCCTTAGCCTCTACTGAACTGTTCTCTTTTCTAGGCAAAAATATAGGTGAACCCTTGGATTCCTTTCCATCCATTTTTGCTGCAGCAGCAGCAGCTGCTCTTTCCTTCTTTTTCCTACTGAGTTCAGCTCCCAAGCTGGAGTTCAGTGGAAGCCTGACAGGTGAGATACTGGAATGTCGACTGCGTGACCCAGATCTCTTCTTTTTACTATGAGAAGATGAGTGTCTTGAATATGCGGGACTTCTACTTCTAGACTTCATGGATTTCCTAATGGAAAGACAAAAAAGCAGTTTACAATAGATAAGCTATAGCAATATAAAGGAAAATATATCAGTTAAATTATGGAGAACTGTAACTTATAAAACCCATTTTGAGTAATTTAGTAATCTTAAAAATAAATTAGGTATCTAATAATAATAATAAAATAATAAATCAATATTGGTTCATTAATTATAACAAATGTACCATATTAATGTAAGATGTTAATAACATGGAAACTAGGTGTCAAGATATATAAGAACTCTTTGTACTATCGTCACAATTATTTTGTAAATCTAAAACTATTCTAAAAAAATAGTTTATTTAAATAATAGATTAGAACTAAATCCTGCATGACAACAGATTTCAATAATATAACACTAAAAATTATTCAACTGAAGGAAGACAGATCGATATTTTTCCCTCCATGTTGGAAAATATCCATATTCACAATGTTTACTTTTAGAATTTTGGTTTAAATCTCTGATAAAGTGAAAACATGATTAAAAAAAAAAAGTCACATTTTATACTACAGGTAGGGTATATAAATCTGGAAATTAAAAGTAACTAGCAGGCTTCACCAAAATCTAATTTTTTTAACTAGAGAGCTATTTAACTGACAAATCCCAAGAAAAAATTTTGTTCCTTGTATCCTTAGTTTATAATTAAGTTGTGCATATACTAAACAAACCCCCAAGAAACAAGAGTTAGGACTTACAAAATAGATAAACTGGAGAAAGTGTCTTACCAAAATAATTAGAAATTCTGAAAACAATAATGGCTTCTGGTACTTTCAAATATAAAATGATTTCCAATCGACTTTTTAGGAACTCGTAAAGCAAAGTATTATTGCATGTTCAATTTATTTTCTTCATTATTAGGAAGGATTGGGAAGTAAACTCTTAGAATCTATGAGGCAGATTATTCTAAATTGAAACTCAACCCTAATTACTTTTTTTGTTTGTTTTTTAAATAAAGCCTAATATGCTTAGGCTTCAAGGTGAGGAAGAAAAAATTAGCACAAAAAATGTGATTGGACAAAACATTTACCCAGTATTCTAAAACAAATTGCTCCCATTCCAGATCTTCAATATCTCCCTTTATCTTTAATCATTTGTAAGACTGACATAAATCAAAAGGTTTCAAAAAAATAGCATATATGTGTAGAGAAAACAACTCACATGATGTTAGCCATGGTGTTCTTATATCTATACTGCTTTTTGGAAGTTTGCTCCAAAAAGTTAGTTGAAATATGTCACTACTGGAATCAAAGTACTCAAAACAACAATAACAACATATATACGCACATGAGGATATAACTATGGAAAGTAGTTAATGGATTTACCAAATATCCACTTACTCTTAAGAAAACTAATACTTCTCTTATAAATAACTGGCTGAAACAAGTTTTCTCTGATTGAATTATGGCTGGGATAAAGCTAACATCTCTATCCCAGGAAAAACTTCTAAAATCCCAAACACTAAGTAAAGTCACAGATAATGCTCTACAAACCATTGTTTCTTTAATCTTTCAGCATGACAAAATCTTCCTAATGCATTCTGCTAAAAATCCCTTAACTCCTCAACAGAAGCCTACCGTTAACAGGACATTTGGATGGCCAAATACTTATAGCATTTTTATGATACAAACACTGTATTTGAGGTCCAGATCCACTCTTCAAAGTAAAAAAAAAGGAGGGGGGGAAACAAATAGGTAAATGCTAGCAATAAAAAATGTGTCTTCAAAAACAAAACATATTTTTCCCCTGAATTAAGTTAGGTTCCATCCATTTGAAATGAAATTGTTACTATTATTCACAATTAATTTGGTAAATGCAAAGACCCTGAATTTCTGCTAAAGCATTTTCAATCTTTTAAAATGACGTTGCCTGTTTAATTATCTCCCAAGGAAAAAACACAGAATACCATGGAAGGACTCTGCATGTTCCTCTACTCTAAGAAATTTTTGTACTTACTGTTTGGAATTCCAACCAATGAGGAAAAATATGTAATGCACACACACAAACATATATGATGCTCTATAAGCCCACCAAAAATGTGTTATGTGACTCCAGGATTATTATGTAGTTTATATTTGCATTCTATACTGGAGACATACGGAAACAGTGTGTGTCTCCAATTCTTTCTTGATTTATTTTTATCATTTCTGCACTAGTTCTAATTAAGTGAGTAGAGGAAAAGAGAACTTGAGATATGAATCCAAAAGGAATCAATGCAAAGCCAAAGTTCTTACTGCAACTCATTTTAGTGTTTTAGCCTCAATGCACTTCTGTATTCCCAAACCCCACAACAATAAAAATTCTCAGAACAGGCTTATTAAACTATTCCCTTAAAAAAACAAAAATTCTGAGAATATTTCTTAGGGTTCCTTAAAAAACTAAGCAACTTTACAAATGGTACACTTAAGACTTACTCATTTCACTGCATATAAATTTTATTACCCCTCATTAGCTAGTGAACTCTAATTAATGGTACACATGCTAAAGTGTTTATAGTGATGTATACTGATGTCAGCAACTTATCTGAAATGAATCAAAAGATGGATTGATGCAGATATATAAAATACATAGCAAATATTAATTGTAGAATGTAAGTAGTACATGTATGACTCCTTGCTACAATTCTTCAACTTTTCTGCGTTTGAAAAATTACAATAAAATGAGGAGGGAAAGACTAAGGAACTTCAGACCCTGACAGCTAGGAACTCTGCAGTTGGATCAATTTGAACTGGTTTATGAAAAATTATAACTTTGTCAGCAAAAATTACTCACACTGCCATATAAAAGATATGCATGGATTTTTTTCAAATTAGAATAATTTCTCTACTAGTATTCAACATTTTCCTTACTCATAGATAGAATTTACTGACTGGCTCCAGGTACCACAGGCCCTATGCTATGCACTTTACATTTACTAATTTAATCCTCACAACGACTCTAGAAGTAGGTAGTTATTATTTCCATTTTACCCATGAAAAAACTCAGGCATTGAGAAATTCAATTATAGGATTCCACTCAAGTATAACTCCAAAGCTCATGTTCTGCTTTTGTAGACAAAGGTGAGTCTATAAAGAGGAAGATACAGGAACAAGAACACAGTTTTTGGTAGATAATTCACTCCAACAATTAAATTTCAAAGGAACATGCCTTTCTTGAAAAAATAACATAGTAAATGCACTATCACCATTTTTTTAGAGAAAGATTCTGAATATTGCAAGTGGTCAAGGTGACGTTGTAAAGAAAATCGAATTATCCTTGGAACTAATTTCTGCTAGGCTCTATCATGAAAAGGAAAAAAGACTAGTCAGCTGAATGTCCACTAGAAACAACAGTGAAAAGACAAGAGTCTTTTGTAAGCTATCAAAACATCGTCAATTAGGAAATAAATAATAGGTTTGGACACTCAGTGGACAGCACAAATGACAGATGACCTAGGCAAATAGCCTCAAGATAATACAAATGAAAACCTGCAATTTCTTATATCTTCAATCAAGTCCAATGAGGTCAAAAGCACTAATATCAATGTTACGTAAAAATATTAAGACAAGGCAATAGAAATAGCTAGATAAGCTCGGGAAACCAGTAGCTCTGCACTCAACAAGCAGAAGCCTATGATTTTTCTCACACAGTTTACAGCTGATGATCCCACCACTGAAAGTACCTACCTTTAGCAGTTTTAGGCATGCAACTCTCCTTTTCAAATTCTGGGTTAAGAGACCAGATTCACTTACTTGAATGACTGGGAACTTCGACAAAACATGACTTATTGCCAGTTCCTCATAACCCGCTCTAAGAAAGGACTGTTAAGACAAATAGCTCACCTGGGGAGTGGACTCCGACTCAGAGACCGTTTGCTTGTGAAAGGACTGCTGGACCGCCTTCGACCATAGGGACTGGGTGATCTTCCACTGTAAGAGCCACTCCTTTCATAGCTGGACGACCGTCTCCTGCTATAAGGACTAACAGACCTCTGTCGTCTACCGTAGGGGCTGGGTGACCGGGTGCTGGACTGGTAGGCCGAAGGCTCCTTGTAAGGTGGACTAATTGACTGCCTTCTTGAGGTACTTCCAGGACTCTTCTTATAGGAGTCATAATTGCTGGAGGTGTGAGATCTTGGGGGACTAAGGTCATAATCTTGGCCGTAAGAAGCTCCTGAGGGGCTATCATCTTGCTTGGGGCTGTCAGACCATTTCCTGTGGGGACTCCTGGATCTCCGTTTGGGGCTGTCCACTGTTTTGTAACTTTTGGGTGTTTCCCTTTTCCGATGACTTTTACTCCGGTCTTTGTGGCCAGACTTCACCTCACGTTCTTTTCGGGCTTTCTCTTTGTGGAGTTTGGATGACCTGGATTCCTTGTTGCTACTGCTTTTGGAGATCTGTGCCTTTCCATAGTCATCATTCTCCTCATTTGAACGCTTTGAACTTCCTGACATCCGGTCCTTCATCGATCCCGACTTGGTGGAAACTTCCTGGTTTTTTTCTTTTTCTGTCTGTTTAGTTTTTAGTAAGTCCCGGGAACGTCTGTGCTGGTGGTGACGATGTTTGTGGAGACGGTCACTCCGATCAGTTCCACGACGTTCATCATTCTCCCTCCTGTCTAGTTTGAAGGCCATGTCGTCAGAGAAGGTATCTGAATCAGAGCTGATGTCATCATACTCCACCAAAGGTTTGATAATTGTACCCAAAGGTGCTGCTTCAGGGGTCACCAATCCCATGTCTTTGGAGTGCTTGGACTTGTGCCGTTTGTGCTTCGACACCAAGCGGTGACGCTCTCTGCTGTTGGAGCTGCCACCTCCAGACGACGGCTGCAAAGTTCCAGAAGCTCCTCCACTCCCATCCTTCTTGCCCCCATGTCTCTCTGGATTGGGCATTCCCTTTCCCCTGGCCTCAAAAAGGGGAAAAAGTTCCCCAGCACTCCAAAAAGTAACCCCCACCCTCCCCCCCAACCCCGACCCCACGCCTACCAAAGTGCCTCTAGAAGGGGGTGGGGAGGGAAGGAACTGTAGCGAAGGCTCCTCCCTCCCGATTCCTCAGCACCCTCCTACATGAGGTAGGGGGTGAGGGAGCCAGGGAAGAAATGAAGAGTTCCTCAGCTGTGGAGTTGCAAGACAACGGGCAGCTGCTTAAGTCTGTTTGCCCTCGTAACCCCCGCCGAGCCAATCCTCAGGCCCGGGGGCCGGGTAGGTCGAGGAAGTAGGAAACCGACGGCCCAGGGCTGTGGGGCCGACTCCGGCTCTGGGGCCCTGTGAGGACTGCGCGGGCCCTTTCCCTA